TTTTTAGACAGTTCAATTGGATATGACAAACTTTTTGTTAAACTTTTACAAGGTCATTTAAAATCTTCTCATTTGCATATATATGTATATAAGCAAGCGTCTATTTTCTTCTTAATTGTCTTGAATCACTTTTAAGCACCGCAACACTTGAGACACCCACTCAAACGACGCGCCTCCCTTGACATCCATCACGTAGAGCATTTAGTAGTATGTCGCTGTCGTGTAACATATGTTCGCTGAGCAACCCAGGAGCTTATATGAGATCATTTACTCATATGCATTTGCAAGTAAATTTCGTTTTATTTTTGATCTTTTGTCATTGGGTGTAAACAAAATCAAATCGCACAGAGCTACCGGCTTGTGACTCACAAATGAGCTCATTAGAAGTGCCCAATACAGGTTTCTGTCTTTGAACTATGACGTCCAAAATGATCTGAGTTTTATATTTAGTTATTTATTTTGATTTTTTACGAAAATACAAAATTCATTCAATTGATAACAGTCAGACAGTTCTTTCAGAGTGTCCCAGTGTCGCTCTCTCTCTCTCTCTCTCTCTCTCTCTCTCTCTCTGTAAGTGTCTCTCGCTCTTCATCTAACTCAAAAATTTTCAAATAAAAGCTTTACACAATGCGCTCGGCTGTCAGTTGCTGTTCGGCAGCGCAACGCAGCGCAACATTTTCGTCAACGAGATCAGTGGAATATCTAACGGTACAAGCGGCTATAGTGAAAGTGAATCAATAGTGTCTCATGTGCGGATCCTGTTAATTCTAATCTGATTTGTTCATAAACAATATAGAGCTCATTTCGAGCGCTCGCAGTGTGAATTCTAAGTGAGAGTGAGTACAATATATATATATAGATATATGTATATTTATATATATATTCAGATTGCAGTATTATTAGTATATAAATATATATAGTATATATTATTAGTGCGTCCAAAAATAGCCACCGCCTGCACTCTGGCTGCATTACCAGCGTTAGCCCCCAAAATAAGTTGTTCCAGAAATAAAATGATTGCCCGTAATAGACATATAACCATATGTGACACAAATGGAGCGTTGTTTATGCATCGGCTATGCTGTTGATTTATGGCCCCAGAATAAATTGAGCATATAGAGCATATATAAATCAATACTGTGTAAATTCTATGCCTATATGAATTCTAAATTGAAATAAATTCAATCTCAAATAACCAAAATTACCACGTACGCATTAAAGACCTATCAACCAAAGACCGGATGGAAGATGCTTCTCAACCTGATACAATAATAATATATTAATAATATATAAAATAAAATTCATTAAACAATCTGAAACGTTCAAAAGACAACAGCGAGTTGCTTCGACAAAATGAGACTAAAAAAAAAAAAAAAAAAAAAAAAAAATTGATGTTCTACCATGAACATTATCGGCTGGCTAACCTTTTGTGATCCTCAGTTGTTTGATAATCCCTGACTGAACTAGATTCGTGCGCCATGCGGTTATCAGCCAAAAAATAACAAAAACTAATTTTTTTTTTTTCAAATTCTGTTCATTTTCTGTTGAGCCTACTTATTGTAATATATGTAAAATTCCCGTTTATTATTTGTAACATATTTATAAATCATGAATGACACAGTTCTCGTTTTTCCCTCTGAACTTTGCTCTAGTTAGCCCAGAATGCGAGCTCTGGGCGTGTGTGCGTTGCTCTTGGCTCTGGCCAGCTGCCAGGGCTACAACAGCTTCAGATCGAGCTATAGCAGCAGCTCCTCTTCATCATTTGGCAGCGGCGGCAGCGGCAGCGGCGTTGGCCAATCGCAGGCATTGATACAGGGTCAAGCGCAGCTAAACAGCTGGGCCTACAATCATCTGAATGAGGTGCGCGAGTTTGCCAATCGACTAACCCAGGAATACAATGCCATGTCCACGGGCAGCAGCAACATTATGGGGCATTCATTGCCTTGGAGTGGTGAGTACCATGATAACTATGTTTGCTACCATTATTTAGATGTTTTTTCTATAAAGAAGCTAAAATTCGTAATTTGTCATTTACATATGTAGATGAAAATATTGTAATTTAAATAATATTAGATATTATTATGTTGAGAAGCTTCTTAATATATGCATATATATATCTTCATTCTCTGAGAAGTCTCAAAAATTGCTATATTTTTGAGATATTTTTCAAGAGCTATAAAATTTTTATGATGCTTAGAATTTTCAAATGCAGATTTTTCTACGTCCTTTACAATACCCATATACAACTAATTAGACTTGTCAGGAAGTGTTGGTATTGAAAAGGTACAATATATCAGATCTTTATATTGATCATCTTTTCGTACAACTGTCCGTTCGCCTGTCCGTCTGTCCGTAAAATTTTTGGTCGTTATTGAAAATAATACTTCTAATTTAGACCTAAAATTCATTAAAAAAAACGCTCAAATTTAGATCTTATATCAAATTAAAAGCACTGTGTCCTAATCTATTAATTTAAAAATTATTCTAATTTGTATATATGGGGCGTGGCAAACTGTCGTCCCACTGTAATATTCTTGAGCGTTTTTATTCAACGGCAAAACATACTTAAATTATAATATCAGATTATATTTAATCACTTAAATTGGGTTAAATGAAAACAGATGTAATTGTAAATAATCTGGAATTCATTTTAACATATATACTTTAGAGCTTCTGAGTCTACAAGATTTCAATAGTCATCGGAAATGACGTTTTCGTTTTGTTATTCTTAGGTGCATTTAATGTGTGATAGAAGTTCATTGATTCATATTCGAATGAATGGAGACAGTGAATATACATATGTATATTACCTAAATTTATATTTATTTATTTTTATTACCGGACACCATAAAACAAGGCGTGATTACTCTAATCTTAATTTGTCTATATGTATATATAATTGTGAAACACTGATAATAGGGAAAGGGTCAACTAGAGTTCACTTAGTTTGTTCACTGCGCCCAATTCAAAGTGTAGTCAAAATAATACCTCAATCGGTCTACTTAGTGATAGAGGTAGCATAGCTAAGGGAAAGGCCTAATTAATTATTGCACAGTCAATTGACAACATTTTTTGCAAGATTATTTTTGTATTCGAGTCTAAAATAAAAAATGACATCATTATTGGCCGTGACACCATATGATGCCTTAATCTGGCACAATTCTCTATCAGAAGACGTAATCGTAAAGTGGGAAGAATCCTATGCTACTTTAACTGGAAGTAAAAGTGGGAAAAGCAATTTCTTTTTCTGAGAATCGCAGAGAAGGGTGATAAGTGTGTGAGAGTTTGCACAAAGCGATAGTTGTAAGGACGAATCTATAATTACTTGTATCATTCAAACTAAACATCTTTGTTTCTTCTTCTTCTTCTTCTTCCTCCAGCTAGTATACAGCAGCTGAGTGGCAAGAGCGCCAGCGAATTGGACGCTCTCTGCTTGCAGATCAGCCAGAAGCTGGTGAATGATATGCGCCAGGGACTGCTCAGCTATAGCAACATTGTGCAGCCGGCATTCTTCGATAGCAAGGCAGCGGAGGTATTGGAGAACTTTGCCACTGGAGGCACACAGCAAATTGTGGAGCTGAATCCATTCAAGGCTGTCGATTTGAGTGGCTTCGATGAGGTGAAAAACTATGAATATCCGGCCGAGGTGAAGGTAATAGACGGCAAGACCTATTTGGTGCATCGCAATTGCACAGAGGCCACCAAGATATCGAACAGCTATTCAGGCAATGCCAATGCTCAGCTGACTCATGGCTATTACCCACAGAATCCGATCACTTCCTTGCCCTCTAGCAGAGCCACAACACTGTCTCGCCAGTCATCGTCGTTGCAGGACTGGATTGGACAGCGTATGGAGCCGTCTGTGGTGGATTACAGATCGGTGGTTAGCATCGACAACAGTCGACCGCTGCCAACCTATAGCCAAATAACGGCATTGCCAGCCTTTGGCCAGCCCAGTTCACCCGGCTCGAGATCAACGGTGACAGTGAGACGTTTCAATAAGACCATCACAACCCATCCCGATGGCACCAGCTCGGTGGATGGCTCCGAGGCTCATCAACGATGGGAGAACGGTCAGCTGGTGTACGATAATAATCGGCCCTTTGGTCAATCATCGGTGCCGCGCGACGAGCAGTGGAAGCGCGAAGAGCGCGAGCATTTCTTCTGGTATCTGACGACGCCGCAGCGCCTTGAGGACTGGCAGCATCAGCACGAGGATCGTCTACTGGCTGTGGCGCATCGCTATCATACCACCTTGCCCGTTCTACTCGAATTCCATCGTCGTGAGCTGTCGCGCTATCAGGCGCTCTTGGCGCAGTATCAGGCTCAGGTGCAGGATGCCACGGCCTGGCAGCAACGGGAGCGTGGTCGCCTCGATTGGCTAATACATCAGAACAGTTTCACAGCGCAGGACTTTGATCGCTGGCAAATGGAGAACAGCGCCAAGCTGCGTCAGCTGGCGCAGAACAATGGCGTCCCATTGGAGCAACTGCTGCAGTGGCAGCGTCAGGAGCTGCAGCGCCTCCATGTCTACTTCAACAAGGTCAACGACTCGCTCAGCCCTCAAGTGCCCCACATACCGAACCAAATCACTATACACGAGTCCAGCTCACTGATTGAGGACAATGCTCAGGAGCAGCAGCGCCTCAATGAGCTCATTCGCCAGCACAACGCGACAATTGCCAAGCTGCAGAGCTCCATACTCAGCGATCAGCAGCGGCTGAAGGATCTCTCGATCAAGTATCAGGGCGACATGCAGAGTCAGACGCAGTGGCTGCGCGGCGAGGTCGCACGCATTGGTGATCTCATCAAGGAGCAGAACGAGCAGGTGACCCGACTGAGTGCCTGGCAGAGCTCGGAGCGCGCTCGTCTGGAGTCCATGCTGAAACAGCATCGCGGCAGCCTGAGCGAGCTGCAGCAGCAAATGGCCCAAGATAGAAGCTATGTGCAGAATTTGGCGGCCAAATATCGTGTGGGTGTCGATGAGCTGGAGAAGTGGCAACGCGATGAGCTGCAGCGCCTGCAATTGGCTGGCCAACAGCAGCTGGAGAGCCACATCAAGGATTGGCAGAGCGGCGTCAGTGCGCAGCTGCGCAACATTATTGGCCAGAATCAGTTGACGATCGAGGAGTTCCAGAACTCGATCATTAATGATCGTGCACGCTTGGAGCAGTTCGCACGCACCTATAAGGTGCGCGTGGAAGAGATCGAATCGTGGATCAAGAGCGAGCTGAAGAAATTCCAATCGGAGGGTCTGCTCAAGGAGGTGGAGGAGCAATTGGCGTCGTGGCAGCAACGCGAACGCGAACGACTTCAGACTTTGGTGCAGCACAACTCGCTGACCGTGGAGCAGCTGGAGGCGAAGATCAAGAGCGATCAGGCGCACTTCTTCGAGCTGGCCAACACGTATCAGGTGCGCGTCGAGGATATTCAGGATTGGCTGAAGAAGGAGCTGTTGCGCCTCCAAGGCGAGGGTCTGATCAAGGCAGAGGCCCTGAAGGACTGGCAGGTGGCCGAGCGCCAGCAAATCGCCAAGATCGTGCAGCAAAACAAATACTCTATTGATGAATTCGAGCGCAAGCTATTGGCGGATCGTGCCCGTCTTAACGACTTGTCAAAGACCTACAATGTGCAGGTCTCCGAGATCGAGCAATGGATCCAGTCCGAGGGCGAGCGTCTGCAGCGCGAGGGACAGCTGCACATGGAGACGCAGCTGAACAACTGGCAGAAGATCGAGCGCCAGCGCCTGCTGGATCTGATCAACAAGAACAACTTGTCCATTGAGGAGCTGGAGATGAAGATTGGCAAGGATCAGACCCATTTGTACAGCCTGGCCCAGCAGAACCAGGTGCGTGTCGAGGAGATCGAGCAGTGGATCAAGCAGCAAATCCAGAAGCTCCAGAGCGAGGGCCTCATCGAGATGCAGCGCCTGAAGAACTGGCAGCTGGAATGGCGCGGCAATCTGACGAACATGGTGCAGGAGCGCGACTACACAGTGGAGGAGTTCCATAAGTGGCTGCTCGAGGATCGGGCGCGTCTCCAGAATCTGGCCATGCAGCACAACGTGCAGATCGAGGAAATCGAACAGTTTGTGAAGAAGGAGGAGCAGCGTTTCATCGGCATGGGCCTGCTCAAGCCCAGCGAGAAGCTGACCAATTGGCAGGAGGTGGAGCGTCTGCATTTGAAGAATCTGGCACAGCAGCAATACAAGTCCACCGAGCAACTGGAGGCACGTTTGCGTCAGGACCGCGAACTGCTGGAGAAACTGGCCACTCAGTACAGCGTGCAGGTGGAGGAGATCGAGAACTGGATGAAGCAGGAGCTGGCACGCATGCGTGACGAGGGCAAGCTGCAAATCGATAATCTCACCTCGTGGCAGCTGGCCGAACGTGAGCGCCTCGAGGCACTGCTCAAGCAGAACAAGCAATGGAGCGCCGCGGAGCTGCAAGCGGAGCTTGCCAAAGATCGGGAGCACATGCAAACGATGGCCTTCCAGTATCACACCTCCGTCGAGGAGATCGAGCGCTGGGTGCAAACCGAGATCGAACGGCTCAAGCAGCAGGGCAAGCTCAACATTGAGCAGCTGACGGCCTGGCAACAGGCCGAGCACCAGCGCATTCTATCGCTGCTCCAGTCCCAGTCCAACATAACCATGGAACAGTTTGCAGCCAAGGTGAGTAGTCGTTAATTAATATAGCTAATATAATATAATATAATAGTTTATTTAATTTTCATTGATTTATAACTTTTCAAACTTAAATCAATTGTTGTCTTAGAAGAGAGCGATTGTAGATCCTCTTATAAATGTTTTAATATCTTGATAATTTCTTTTTTTTTACATATAACTTGGTAGAATTTTCTAGTCCTATTTTGAGTTCATTATTTATTATTTATTCAATTCAAAATTAAATTTTTCAAAATTTTTCAATTCAAAATTAAATTTTAGGTCGATCATCCTGTTAGCTAATTCAATTTATATACATTTATAACTTATCAAATTAAAATTGATTGTTTTTTATGACCAAGTCGAAGAGAGAGAAAATAATATAACACATTTTTGTTGCTATTAAAAAGGAAAAAACTTAAAATAGAATGGTTTATTATAGTAAAAATTTTCAAAAAATATAAAACGACAAATGCCCAAAATTCCAAACGTGAACCAATTTTATTGCCAAGCTATTTTTAAACCAAGTACTGAAATATTTGGGAGGAGCCTTAAAAATGTAGTATCCTTACATATAATAATAGCTCCGCATTTAATTATATTAAACATATTCCAATTTAAGAGCGACTACTGATCTCATCCCTGATCTAAAAACCCTTTCTCCCGTTACAGGTGCAGAACGATCGCCATTTCCTCCTGAGCCTCGCCGAGCAGCATCATGTGAGTGTTGTTGAAATCGAGAGATATATCCAGCAGGTCATTGACGATCTGCAGAAGAAGGGACAATTCGAAATTGAGAAGCTGCAGAATTGGCAATTGGTTGAGCGAGATTATATCAAGACGCTGATTGCCGAATATAAGAACGCATTGTCCACAGCCGAGTTTGAGCAGAAGCTGAGAGAGGATCGTGCGCATCTCAATCAGCTGGCCGATCAGTATCGAGTGAATGTGGAACAGATTGAGGAATGGATGATATCGGAGCTGAAACGCTTGAGAGGTAACACGGAGACATCGCTGAGATCGCTCAGCGCTTGGCAAGTGTCCGAGCTGGAGCGGCTGCAGAATCTGCTCAAAGAGCAGACACACATCAGCTATGTGGAATTCGAAATGGAACTGCAGAAGGAACGTGAACGTCTGCGCCAGTTGGGCAATCAATATTCGGTGAATGTGGAGGAAATCGAGCAATGGTTGCGCCAGCAACTGATCAATCTGAAGACCACGGGCAATGCCAAGGTGGAGAAGTTGGCCAAGTGGCAGATTGAAGAGCAGGAGCGTCTCATTGAGTTGCTGTTGAAGCACCAGCAGGATATGAACTACGAGGATGTAGAGCGTGAGCTGAGCAAGGATCGCGCCCATCTGGAGAGCTTGTCACAAACGAATCATGTGAGCATTGAGCAGGTCGACAATTGGCTGCACGATGAGCTGCGTCGTCTGCAGGACTCGGGACTTGTGCAATTCGAAAAGCAAACCCAATGGCAGAAGCAGATCAGCAACGGCTTCAACAATTGGCTCAAGCAACAGCAGGACTCGGCTACCTATCAGGAGTTCTTGGATTTCCTGAAGCGTGACAAATCACGTCTGAACGGCATTGCCAATGACTATCATCTGACCGTGGAGCAGGTGGAACAGTGGGTGCAGAAGGAGACGGCACGTTTATCCCTAATTGGTGTCATTGAGAAGCCGCAAGATAATTATCGCTACGAAGAGATCATCAGCATTACGGATCAGTCAGCCAATTCGCAGCCCTGGAAGGAATACGTGACCGCACGCCTTCGCAGTGAAGCGCATCTGAAGCCGATGACATGGCAGGAGTTCCGATTGTATTTGGTGCGCAACAAGCCGAACTTTGAGCGACTGGCACAGCAATATCACATTACAGTCGAGGAGATTCACTTGTGGTTGGAGGAGTCAGCGCGCCAGTTGGCCGATGAAGGGCTCATTACGGGCACCGTCACCGTTGAGGAGTGGCAGCTGAAGGAGCAGCAGCATATACAAGACTTGATTAATCAACAGCTGCGCCGTCGCCAGAAGTGGACCATTGAGGAGCTGCAGTTGAAGCTGCTTAATGACCAGAAGCATTTGCTGGACGTGGTGCGTCAGTATCAGATCACCATCGAGGAGCTGAAGCTCTGGTATAAGAATGAGTTGAAGCGCCTCTTGGACTTGCGTAAGATTGAGCGAGGCTATGGCCTGTCCTGGCAAACAAAGGAACTGGAACGCATCTACCAGACCGTTGTCCGTCATCCCATCAATCGCAATGCACTGGAGCAACTGTTGTTGCGCGATGTTGCCATATTGGCGCCGCAGTATCGTGTGACCGTCGAGGAGCTGCGCACCTTCATACACGAGAAACTGCAGCGTTTGGCGGACATGGGTCTAATTGTCGATTCTCAGGTCGTGGGCAATGACTGGAAGGAGCAGGAGCGTCAGCGCTTGCGTCAAATTGGCTCCAGCGTCATCATCACCGATGGAGAGCTATTGCAGCTGCTCGCTGCGGACACCAACTATCAGCAGGAGCTCGCCCGTCTCTATGGCGTGGGTCTTGAGCAACTGGCGCCCATCCAGAGCATATACGTTGGCAACATGGCCAAGGAGCATCTGCTTGAGCAGCGCACGCTCATTGTGCTCGCACCCTGGCAGCAGAAGGAGCGCGATCGCCTGTACGGCTTCATTGGCACCCAGAACATGACGCTGCGTCAGCTGCGCGACTGGCAGCGCCAGAGTGAGGAAACGAGACGTGAGGTCAAGGAGTGGCAGCTCAAGGAATTCGAACGCATCATGGCTGTGGCCCGCTACTATGGCATCTCACTCACTGAACTGCAGCAGTTCCGCGAGGAGGAGCTCCAGTATCTGAACTACTTGAATCATCGCAAGCTGCTGCCCGAGTCCGAGGTACAGAACTGGGAGTCCAAGCAGCACTGGCGCTTGCAGAAGCTGCAGACAAAGTACAAGAAATATGGCCAGGATCTCAGTATCTGGCGTCGCACGCTGTATCTGCTAAGTCAGGGATTGATCACTCTGCCTGGTGGCAATGCAGGCTATATCATCGATTCGGGCACCACCAATGCCACCGCCGTCCAGAAGCCCATTTTCTCCAAGGATCGCGGCGACCAGCCGCCTCACATCTACGAGGAGGCATACAATGAAGACGATGAGCCCGGACTAGAGGGTGAAACAAAGGCGCCCAAGCCAATGCCCATTGTGTCGACGCCAGCACCGTTGCCCTATCATCGCCGGGTTCCTTCTAACGCCAATATAGGCTACGATTATCGTCGCACGGACTACACTTTCAATGTGCCCGTGGGCAGCGTTGCGGCATCGGCCACTGGCGGAGCCGATGGTTCATCGGCCTCGGCCAGCGCCACGTTGGGCAAGTGGAGTCGTGCCGCGGGCGATGAGCCCACCTCACAGCAGCAGGTTCAGATCGAGGACTTGGGCCAGCAGCAGCAGGTGGACCTGGGCTGGAACGATGGCCAGGTCGATGGTGGACAACAGCAGCAGGAGCAGGAGCTGGCCTGGAGCACGAACTATCAACCAGGCAGCGATGCTGGCCTAATGCAGCAACAATGGTTGGACGATAAAGACGATTTAGGTCAACGGCAGGTCGAGGACCTAACAGGCCAGGCCTATAGCCATAGCTATGGCTCCAATTATGGCCAGCTGCAACAGGCGCAGCCAGTTGAGACAACGGTAAGTTATATTGACTTGTTAAACTCTTAGAAATAAGAGACGCTATCTAAATTGTTGGAATGATATGATTTCGTATAGAGAATGGACAGAAGTTGATAAAAAAATTTGCTTCTGGTTTAAGAAGATTGTCATTAAGCTTTTATAAGGTCTTTTATGGAATTTTATAGAATATGCTACAAATTGTTGAATTGTTCTATTAATAGTATGAGTTTTAGTCATTTCAAATATATTCTAATCAGCCAAGTGGTCTACAAAAATATAGCTCTCCAGAATAAAGAGGAGTTTGGAATGAAACAATTTTGACCAGTTTGAAGTAGAAAACTCTACAAAATCCTTACGAGAATTGGTTGATTTCTGATGTAGGTCTATTTCTAAACAACATACCTTCCAATTCGAATTACCGCTTAAATCTATGCCTTCTACCCAAATATACCACATATACTTACACATAGATCTCTCATTTTCAATTGCAGCCGAAGCCCAGTACATTCGAAAATTTCAAGAATAAGATAACCGGAATCTTCGGTTAGACCTCGAGAGACACCACACGAACTGCCATAAAGACTTAAGTGCAACGAAACGATAACGAGCCAAATAATGAAATACAACCAAAAGGCGAAAAGAAGTGAAAATAAACACGAATCACAAATGTGAATAAATTGTTTTCTACAAACGTTTCTTTAATCAGTTTAGTTTTAGTCTTAAAGGAAAAGATTTTTTGTCGGTCGCAGTTGAACCGCAACAACAACTACTACTAAATATACATATACATATAGATACATGTGTAATACTCGCTCTATAAGGACGTACCTTTGTATTTTGTTTGCATTTTCCCTAATAAACTTTGAAAATATAATTAATTCTTTGCATTTGTGTGTGTGCATCCAATATCATATTCATATTCATATTCATCTTCATAATCAACTGCATTAAGCATAAATCTCTAAAACATAACGAAATGGAGCATATACATATTTAATTATACGTATAATATATTTAACTGCTGTATATAAGTTCTGTAAGTTCTCTTGTTCAAGTGGGTGCATCTCTTTTGTTGTTCACTGAATCCGCATAAAAATCATTTAGTAAATATATTTAACAGAATTAAACTTTAGCACTTGCTTTGTAATTGCCGTATAGTAAGTTCTCCAGGTGTCCAATTCATGGGATAGTTCTAGTGTGTCTATGGGGCTACTTGGTAGCACCAGAGCTAAAAGAAAGTGTGAGTGTATGTGAGTGAGTATGTGTGTAGTTTGCGAGGCACTTAAATTGCGCAGTAATTTAGTTTGGAGTTTCCTTGATATCGTATCCCAAGTTCATAGTTTCAATTAGGAATAGAATGGGATCTAATTTTGGTCAATGTACACTTGCAGATCGTCCAAGTTTATATATGTCTTGGTAGTGATCATTTGAGAGTTTAAAATAGTATTCATATTTTATCATAATCGGATCAATTTATATTCTATTAAAGTTTTCAACGAAGCGTAAGTTAGATGTCCAAAATTAATTCCCTTTACTTTTTCTAATATAAATAATAAATATCTATTCTCAATATCTCTTCCATCTGCAAGAGTATCTTCGGCAGTCCGAAGAATTTTTTGTTCGACATTTCACAAATGTTTCTTTCTTATGGGATGTGTTCCAAACTTAGGCATTAAATATCTGCTATTAAAAGGTATTTTAAAACATCTATTCGAGCTTTTTCGAAGCACGTCTCTATCGTTTCGTTTAGCCCATTCCTTATCATTCCTTGCAGGTCCTTTGTAGGTCTCTTGTACATTATTTATACATGTCTTATACGGTCTATATATGTATATACAGAGTGCCACAGATCAACTAATATGGATCTCCAGCTCTGAGCCGTTCGCCGCACCGAAATGCGATGCTCGAAATTGTAATCCTTCGCTGAGTTCCTCCACCGCCACGCCCATGCCCACGCTTAAGCCATCGCCAGTCTCTTGAAGCACATGATGTTTGAGCTGTTCGATTTGATGGAGTAGTTTAAGTGTCTCCTCATCCAAGTTGTCATCCTCTTGGCGCAACTGGCGCTGCTGCTCCTGCTCGGCATCGATGTCCCATTCGAGCGACTCGGGCGTGGATATGTGCGACCAGGAGTTCTGCGTCGACGAGCAGCATGAGGTGCGCGTAAAGGAGCCGCCATAACGCTGGCCGCTCAGTCGCGCTTGACGCGCTGCCGCATGGCGTCCGTGACTGGCGGCCAGCGAGGCAGCCGTCGTCAGTTGGTCCAGGGATGAGTAGCACTGCTGCGATGCACCGCGAGGCGGTGTATCCTGCTGCGGCTGCTGCTCCTTATGCTGTCGCTGCTGATACTGGCGCAGCTGTGAGTACTCATGCTCCCACTCCAGATCCAGGGAGGAGCTGGCCCTCGAGCTGGCCATGCGCGTATAGCTCTGCAGCTCCGTCTCCTTGCTGGTCGTCGTCGTGGCATTGAGCAGCTTGTGCACATCCAGATTCTGCAACTGTATGTCCGTCAGGCCACTGCAATAAATCAATATTTATTCAACTGATGCGAGTCGTTGACTACCTCGTCGCTCGCTCACCTGTCGTTCTGCAGCTTCGCATAGCTGGGCTGCTGTTCCCAATACCTGTCCAGAAATTGTGGACATTGCTGTTTCCGCTTGAACTTTAATATGCGATAGACAAGGCCACGTCGCTGGCATCGTTCACTGGCGGCCGACAGCAGCTCTGCTTCCGGTTCATCTGTGCCAGCTGCTGCTGCTGCTGCTGCTGCTGTAGCACGAGCTCTTGTCCTGGGGCGACGCCTGCAAACAGAACAATGCAATCTGTTAGCTTTACCCT